CATTAGGATCTTCTCCAGGGAGTCCTTCCTTCTCCATAGGTGGCCAAAGTACTTGAGTTTCATCTCCAGCTTGACTCTTTAGTTGCCTATTTCGGAAAATATGCTGCCTAATTTTTCTCAGAACTTTTCTTTTCAGGCTTAGAAGGATAGAACAAATGCTGGAAGGCGAACCGAGGGGAAACTGGCTGGTTTTAGGACCCTGTGAAAGAGATAGCTTGCAGAGAAGCCTAAAACTTCCCCAGCATTTCTGAGAGCTAGTTGCTTATTCATTCAGAGCAGGAACCAAACCATCCAGCAACTGAGATCCACCAACTTCCTTTGCAAGCAGGCAATGTAAAAAAGAAAAGAAAGAAAGATCCAACACACAGAAGACCAAAGTCAAGAAAAACTTTTAAGGTTCTTCTCTCTTCTCTTCTCTCTTCCCTCTTCTCTCTCTCTCCCTCTCTCTCTCTCTCTCTCTCTCTCTCTCTCTCTCTGTATCGTTCTCTCTCCCCTTTGCTCCGCAGCCTCATTCTTTGCAGGCTTTTCTTTTCCTCCAAGATGAAATTTGCTGAGAACTCCTGGGGCATCTTAGCAGAAGCGAGGAATGGACAGCGTTGAGATCGGCTTGCTAAGGGAAGCGGAGAAGGGGAGAAGCCAGTCCTCACAACTCGGCCCCTGGGCTGTTTCACGGAGCTGTTTTTCCTGCCCTGACAAACATCCACCAAGGTCAACCCTCTTGATCTCAGCCTCATCATGACAGCTCACGGCTTCTGGGACCTCTGGGTATTGATGGGTTCTGCCGCATTTCTGCTGGTCCGCGGACAAAACCCACAACAGGGCAATGCGGACAATGGTCACTGGAGGCAGATGATCCAGTGGGAGAATAACGGAAGGCTGTACAGTCTCCTGAACTCCGGCTCGGAGTACATCCCGGCGGGCCACGTAAGAGCCGAGAGTAGCGCCAGAGTGATGTTGGCCGATGCCGCCACCAATCAAGGACAACGGACTGCAGGCAACACTCGGCGGCAAGCACCAACCTTACCCATCAGGTCAGGATCTGATACGGTCCGTGGACAAACTAGGCACCCCTTCGGCTTTGGGCAGGTCCCAGAGAACTGGAGAGAAGGAACCGCCGGAGAGAGCAATTCCAACTTCCATCGTCCATGGTCCGCCACTCCTCGTCAGCGGCAGGTGGGCGCTGCATCCTCTTCGTACGTCGCGTTTGGACAGCTCTACCCGCAGGGCTCCTACCCTCAGCCCCCTTACGCCAACCAGTACGAGACCTACGACCCGCAGGGGGCCCGGGTGTACGATGAGAGCCACAATTACTACCGCACCACTGGGACGTGGGGCGGCGCTGTGGCCGCCGCATCAGCCAGCGCTGGAGTGGTGAACCCGTTTCAACCCAGAGTGAGGTACGAAGAGTATGCAGAGGAGCAGAATCCCTACCAAGCTCAACCTTACGCCCCTGTCCAGGAGAGGCCCTACGTGCCTCCCGCCCAACAGCTCCCGTCTCCGGATGGCTTAGACAGACGGTATTCCCACAGCCTCTACCACGACACTGGAACTAGCTTTGACCAAAATGTCCCAGATTCCTACCCGTCCACTCAGAACCAGGGCCAAGGAGTCCCCCTCACAGATAACTTGCATGTCCGCTCCGGATCGCCTGCCAATGCTGGTCCCGGCTACAGCAACGAGCCATGGGCGAGGCAGTATCCTCCCTTCGGGCAGGTTCCCGAAGAGCCTTACGTTCCTGCTCACAACGTGGAACCCCAGCCTCCTTTCCGGCCCTTAGACCCCCATGGGGTCCCTCGGCCTGAGCCCTACCTTCCTATCCGGAATTCCGAAACTCCCCAGTTGATTCCAGACAACCAAGGAGTCAACCAAGGCCGCGTGAGCGTGGGCAGCGTCTACAGACCAAATCAGAACGGACGCGGTGAGTCTTTGACTGTGGGAAGAGTGCTTGGGTTGTGGTGGGAGAATCTACTGTGAGATTTTGTGGCCAACCCCAAATTGGAGCACCTTAGGTTTCACGTCTTAGAGGGACATGGTTGCTCAGTGACTAAGATGCTAAGCTTGTCGATCAGAAAGGTCGGCAGTTTGACGGTTCGAATCCCTAGCACCGCGTAGCAGAGTAAGCTCCCATGACTTGTCCCAGCTTCTGCCAACCTAGCAGTTCGAAAGCAGGTAAAAATGCAAGTAGAAAAATAGGGACCCCCTTTGGTGGGAAGGGAACAGCGTTCCATGCGCCTTTGGCATTTTAGTCATGCCGGCAGCTCAACGGTTCGAATCCCTAGTGCCGCGTAAAGGAGTGAGCTCCCGTTCCTTGTCCCAGCTTCTGCCAACCTAGCAGTTCAAAAGCACGTAAAAATGCAAGTGGAAAAATAGGGACCACCTTTGGTGGGAAGTTAGTAGCATTCCGTGCGCCTTCGGCTTTGAGTCATGCCAGCCACATGACCACGGAGATGTCTTCGGACAGCGCTGGCTCTTCGGCTTTGAAACGGAGATGAGCACTGCTCCCTAGAGTCGGGAACGACTAGCATGTGCGAGGGGAAACTTTACCTTTAGGTTCCTTAGCATTCTTTTGGGGTTAAGAGAACCCAAATGGGTGTTTTCAATACCAGAACAATGCCGATCAAAAGAATCATCATCATCATCATCATTTTAGCCATTGTCTATTTGCTGTAGGATGAAGGCCTCTTCAGCATATTTCTAACCCAAACGGTCCTGAGCTTTCTTTGGCTAATTGGGCCCAAAATACTTGCTGATGTCTTCGATCCATCTTGTTTTGAAATCTCTTTTCTTTTGTGGGTGCTTTTGACTTACTGGGGTCTATTCTATGACTGCAGGTTTACCTGCCCTCAGGTCTTCTTGCTAGGCGACTAACCTCCTTCCATTTCAATTATTTTACTCCCTAGATGGTATCGTATACTTTTGTTTCTTGTCTAATCCATGTGAAGATCTCTCTGTCTTGTCTTGTGATGCTGGGCATGTATCTTTCGCTTGCTCTTTTTTGGTTACCACGATGTAAAAAAGATGGTGGAGACTCTAGAAAGAGTGCAGAGAAGAGCAACAAAGAGGATTAGGGACTGGAGGTTAAAACAGATGAAGAACGGTTGCAGGGTATGTCTAGAGTTAATGAAAAAAAGGACCAGGGGAGACATGATAGCAATCTTCCAAAATCTCAGGGGCTTCCCCAAAGAAGAGGGAGTCAAGCTATTCTCCAAGGCACCTGAGAGTAGAACAAGGAGCGATGGGTGGAAACTCATCAAGGAGAGAAGCAACTAAGGAGAAATTTCCTGACAATAATTAAGCAGTGGAACAACTTGCCTCCAGATGTTGTGATTGCTCCAACCTTGGAAGCTTTTAAGAAGAGGTTGGACAACCATTTGTCTGAAGTGGTGTAAAGTTCCCTGCCTGAGCAGGGGGTTGGACTAGAAGACCTCCAAGGTCTTTTCCAACTCTGTAATTCTATTGTATCCTATTCTTGGCTCCATGCGTAGCTTCTGCATCGATTGTGAGGTTGTGATTGTGAGCTCAGAAGAAGATACCATCATAACTAGGAGTTGGTGCCAAAACATCAAAATTATCTCAGGCAGTGCTCCTTAGAAGATCCATCACAATCTATTGTGATTTCTTTCAGTCTCATGTCCACATTAACCTCTGTGGTTTTTATCTATAACATCTGTAAGATGCATGATATTGAAGCTTGAAGCTTACTTCATATCTTATCATATCTGAGATAGTCACCATCATTATCTCATAGTTGGAGTCTCCTAGCAGAGCTCCTATAGGTATCAATCTGCCCAATATGTGTTCTCTCCACCAAGAGAACGCATCTTTTTCTGTTTCCTTATTTCAATAAGTTTTGCATTTAAGTCTCCTTCCATTTCCTCAGCGGCCAACACAATCCTCAAGATTTATAGCTGGGCCACCTTCCCATGGCAGACGTTTTCCAAAATCTTCCCAGTACCATCCTAGTTGTAGAAGGATTCCCCCATTAGCCCAAAGTTTCAGGACTGTTAAGAGTGAGTAAAATTGAGTAGATCCGATTTGTGGTGTGAGCCACGAACGTTCTTCACAATCTCATATTCTCCTGAAACGTTCCCTTTATGAATTGTGGACGCTAAACTACAGGTGTGGAACACAAGGTCCACAGTGGCCTCTCAAGTTCTCACACCCCTCAATCATGCACCAATCTCCTGCTTTGCCCAGTAATGCATTCCTTGCCCATGGTTCTCCAGATGTCCTCCAGTTAGGCATAACAAACTAATCAAGGAGAGAAGCAACCTAGAACTAAGGAGAAATTTCCTGACAGTGAGAACCATTAATCAGTGGAACAACTTGCCTCCAGAAGTTGTGAATGCTCCAACACTGGAAGTTTTGAAGAAGAGATTGATCAACCATCGATCAACTGATCAGCTGTGGCATGTATGCCAGAGGGGACACACAGTGCCCTCTCTCTGATGGCACGCCAGCACTGTAGCACATACACCCATGCCTCCCGCTGGCCAGCTGGTCTTTGTGTCTCTGCCACACCTGTGCAGGAGGCTGAGGCATATATGCATGTGGGGAGGCAGGGTGCATGCACTGGTGTGCGTGTGCATTGCATTTGGGGGGTTCAAGGCATGAATTTGCGCACAAGGGCATGGGCTTCCGGCACTCGGTCCGGGAAAGGTTAGGCATCATCGGTATAGGCTCTGCTCCTTGAGCAGAGAATTGGACTACCGTATTTCCCCAAAAATAAGGCAGGGTCTTATTTTCTTTTGACCCCCTGAAATAAGCGCTTAGCCTTATTTTCTGGGAGGTCTTATTATTTTTGAGGTGCAGGAAGTGGCGAGCATGGTCACCTCATGGCAGCTGCTGTGTTGCAATTTGTTTGGGGAGGGCTTCTTGTAGCACATGCGCTCAAAAGCCCAATTGGGTTTATTATCGGGGAGGTCTTATTTTCAGGGAAACAGGGTAGAAGACCTCCAAAGTCCCTTCCAAGTTGTATGATGTGTTCTGTTCAGTGGTTCAGTTCACTCCCCTTTTTCTTGGATGGCTTCCAGATCCGGCCCCCATTCCCCCCCCATCTCCACCCACCTACCTCCATACCCTTCCTACCCATCTGGTGCCCCTTTGCATGTTTTTTAGCCCCGGTTCTCACCCACTATGCTTCTTCTCCCCACCCCAGTGATGTTCTCCCATTTTGCTGCTGGGTCAAAGTTGCAGACACGACGTTCGGTCAGTACCAAAAGTTTTTAAAAGTTGTTTTGTTGTCATTAAAAAGCTTTTTTTTTCCCCCATCAACCCAGAATACGATAACACCATGGTGGGAGTGACAGTTTCAGTATTCTGGCGCCCTCTACTGACAAATAAAAACATTGCACGTTTTCTTAGTTTGACTTATTCCCACCAATAATAGCCCCTTTTTGAGGGAGATGATTGACAGAAGA